TAGAAAGGGGTTTTGCAATTATTGTTAAGCAAATTACTGTACACTGGTTAACAATGCTGGAAAGGACTTTAACTACATGGACAATAGCAAAGTTCATCACTATGTCAGCCACCAGGGATAGAAGTCCAAACACTTCTGCCCACTGCATCCTAGTATGGAGTCACCAAAAGCAGTCAAGAAACAGATGGAACAACTCTTGCTGAGTGAAGAGACACAGCAAGATCAGCCCCAATAGTGTATGATGGTCTCCTGTGGCCAATAGGACTATGCCCCAACTCCTCTACACCCCTGCTCTCTGGGCAACTGATACAGGACAAATGGTCTGCACACACCCGTCTTATGCTGCAGCAGAAGGACCAGACCCTTTCCCTGAGGAGTCAGAAATATTGAACGCTGGGAGCGTGTCTGAAGGCCATTGAGCCACCCACTTAAACAGAACAAAGGAGCTCATATTAAGCCAGAGATTTCCCTACAAATGGTGATAAGCTAAATACCACCTACGTTAGCTCTTCATTTGGTGAGGTATTCTAGTCCCAAAGCCCTTATATGGCTGAGTAGGATGGAAAACTGGGCACGAGACTGCCTTTCTGACAATTATATGATACTAGGGGCCTGGTGCATGAAATCTGTTCTCTGGAGGGGTGTTCCTTAGCCCAGTTTGCACCCTCTCCAATCTGGGACTCCTCGGATCTGAGATCGATGGGATCGGGCTTAAACCAGCAGTCAGACATCCCTCTCACAGTCCGGGACTGCTGGTTCCTAATGACTTGCCTGCCTGCTTTCCTGATCAGCCCTTAACTGCTTCTATCTGCCAGCCTGATGACCCCCTAACCACTCCCCTGCCAGCCTGATCACTGTCTAACTGCTCCCCTGCCAGCCTGATCATCCTCAACTGCCCTCCCCTACCGGCCCGCTCACCCCCATCTGCCCTCCCCTGCCAGCCTATTTGCCCCCATTTGCCCTCCCCTGCTAGCCATCTTGTGGCAGCCATCTTGTGGTGGCCATCTTGTGACATGGGGGCAGCCATCTTGTGATGATGTGAGGGCCACCTAGACTTTTATCAGTATAGATACTAACACCACAGTCTTGCCTACTGCTTCTCTCTACCTTACCTACTGTAGTTACTTTACTTTTAATTTTTTAAAAAATATATTTTTATTTATTTCAGAGAGAAAGGAAGTGAGAGAGAAACATCAATGATGAGAGAGAATCACTAAGTGGCTGCATGCCCCACTAGGATTTGAGCCTGCAACCTGGGTATGTGCCCTGATCAGGAATCAAACTGTGACCTCTTGATTCATAGGTCAATGCTCAATCACTGAGCCATGCCTATCAGGCACTTTCCATTTTTTAAATATATAGCAGAGGCTTGGTGCACAAAATTTGTGCACTCCAGAGGGGTCCCTCAGCTCGGCCTGTACCCTTTCGCAATCTGGGAGCTCTCAGGGGCTGTCTGACTGATGGCAGGGAGTAGGCTTTAGCCATCAGTCAGACATCCTTAGTGATGTTGCAGAAGCAGGAGAGGTTCCCACCACGCCTCTGTGCATGCCAGCCATGAGCCCAGCTTCTGGCACACTGATCACCAGGGGGCAGCTTTGTTGAGTATCTGCCCCCTGGGGGTCAATACATGTCATAGCGACCAGCCATTCTCCAATTCAATTGATTTGCATATTAACCTTTTATTATATAGGATTCTTTTTTTATTGATTTTGGAGAGGGAGAAAGAGAAACATAAATGATGAGAGAGAATCATTGATTGGCTGCCTCCTGCATGCCTCCTATTGGGGGTCAAGCCCACAACCCTGGTACTTGCCCTGACTGGGAATCTAACTGTGACCTCCTTGTTCATAGGTCAATGCTCAATCACTGAGCCACACTAGACAGACTTTACTTTCACTTTTGTTAAATTATTTTGCCCTATTGTATTGTGTAATGTTTTCTTATTGAAATGATTATAAAATTTAATTGTTATATGCTTGCTTTTGAAATTAATAGGAGAGGGAATTAGGCACAATTTAAGAATTATAGTCTAGTAGCAGTGAATCCAAAGTAGTAAATAAATGCTAGATAGCTATGCATTACAAATTTCCTTAAGGCTATAAAATCAAAACTTACAGACATATGCCATTTTTTGTTGTTAATTTTCACCTAAGGATATTATTTCTGTTGATTTTTTAAAGTGGAATGTAGGGAGAGGTAGAGAGAGACTGAGAGATAGAGGAACATCGGTGTGAGACACATCAATTGGTTGCCTCCCTCATGTGCCCTGACCAGGACCTGGGATCAAACTTTCAACCCAGGTATGTGCCCTTTGGTGTATGGGCCAATGTTCTAATTACTGAGCATACTGCCCAGGGCAAGACATATGCCATTTTTATACATTGGGGAAACATGTCAGTTTGCCATTTCTTCCTTAAGTTGTTTGTGCTTACTTAGATCCTCTGTCATGTCTACAAACTATATGGGATAAATAATGCTGAATAGTGCCTACTTTTAGTGCTTACTAAAGTAATGACTGACTTCTTGTAGATACGTTTAGGAAATGAGAATATTAGAGGCAGTGAGATCAGCTACAAAATTGGATTATTTAACATTTTTACATGGAAAGTATTTCTGTATGTTTTTTATCTCTTGAAAGAGATAATGGCTACTTAGCCCTTTTCATTTGAGAGGAAGGATGCTCTTCTCTTTTGATAGCAACTTCGGTGTACCCTACTATCGGGAAGTCACCTCTTGTGGCTGTGGGCTGAGATCTATAATCCCTACTGCCAGCAGCCCTGTGGATTTCCTTTCCATAGTCAGATGTTACACCTGTTCCAAGGGACACGGCCTTGGTGCCGTGCGCTTCCTTCTTACCTGCTGGACTTGGAGGTCTTGCAATCATCTCCAGCCCAGATCCCTGATTTTACCATTCTCCAGGTGTCCTCTGCCCTTCCTGGCTTCGAATTGTCCCACCAGCTGTGTCTACTTAGCAAATTTGGGGTGAATGTTATTCTATCTAGTTGCTCCCTCTTTCTGTTCTGGGACAAAGCTTGGGACACATCTGCCTATTCCTCTGCCATTTTATCCATATTATGATTTGATTGGTTCAATGGCTGACTGGTTGACCTGACACTTAGCATATTAGGTTTTTATTATATAGAATTATATCAGTAGATGAGATACCTACCTTCACAGTTGTTCAAACCAGTCTACATCTAGTCCATCATCAATTTCTATTAATTTTACCTTTAAGACATATAAATTTACCCATTTTCTTTCTAATTTTCATGTCATCATGAAACATAAACCTATATGTTGTTGGAACATAAACCTATATGTTGTTGGAACCCCTGCTCTTTCCTTCTATGATTTTTCTAATTCTGCCTTTGCTGTCCTCAAATTATTCTCTACCCAGAAATGGGAGTAAGATTTTATTTTATTTTTTTCCTATGCACCATTTCTGGAAGTACTGAAATACTAGGTTAATGCTTGGAGTGGATGGAGCAAGCTCTTGTTCCACCTCCCTGCTTCAAAAATCCATTTAATATATTGTCCTTGGGTAAAAGATGTATCAGATATTAAACCGATAAGAACAGATACTGCACTTGACCATAGCCAAAAGGCTGAGAATTGTGTAGTAAGCTTTTAAATCATGAATTAGGTCATATCACTTTCCTGTTTAAAACTATTTAATTTTACAATGGCATTTTGAATGAAATAAACTTCTTAATGTGGCCTGTAAAGCCCTAATAATTTAGGCTCTATGTTCTGATCTCTTTTCTCAGCCACACTGGTCTTATGTTAGTCCTAAAATATGCCATGCCTTTTCTTATCTTAAGACTGAGGGTTTTTGCTGTTTCTTTTGTCTTCATTAGTACAATTTATTCTTCAGATACTAGAGGCCCAGTTCATGAAAATTCATGCACTGGAGTGGGGGGGTCTCTCTCAGCCTGGCCTGCCCCTTCTCACAATCCAGGAGCCCTTACAGGTGGGAGGTGACCTGGAGGTCAGGGGAAGGCTATGCCTCCATCACACCTGCTGCTGCCACTGCTGGCAGCACAAGCCTTGTCTGGCCCTGGTTACTTATGCCTCGGGTGGCCCTGGTCAGCCAGGCAGCAACCATCTGAGGCTTGCCTGCGCCTCAGGCTGGCCCTGGGCAGCTGCGGGGCTGAAGCAACTGGGGGACTCTAGAGGCAGGCGCAAAGCAAGGCTGGGCCTGCCTCCAGGTAAACTCAAGGGAGTGGGTGCCACCATCTTGTGGCTGTGGGCGCCACCATCTTTAAGGGCATGGCAGTCAATTTGTATATTCCCTCCTTATTGGCTGTGGGTGCTGCCATCTTTGCAATGGTATAAAGGTCAATTAGCATATTCCCTCTTTATTAGATAGGATTGGCTTAAGTGTCAGTTCCAGAGATAACCTTTCTCCAAATGACAGCATTTCCTCTGTCCCTATATAAATTAGGATCTATTAAGGCAGGGGAAGGTGTGTGGGAAGAGATCAACCAAAGAACTTGTATGCATGTATGCATAACCCATGGACATAGACAATAGGGTGATGAAGGCCTGGAGCCTGGCAAGAAAAGGAAAAAGGAGGACATATATAATACTTTCAATGATGAAGATTAGAAAAAACAAACAAACTTCAAGCAATGCTGTTCTTCAGACATTTTCTTGAGCATTGATCAGGCCTGTCTATTGCAGAGTTCAAAATAGTATCCCTTGATATAGATTCTGGTCACAATCAATAAATACTAAACAAAGAGCAGAAAATGAGGAGAAACTTGAAGCCTTCACTTTGACTATTTGTTAAATTTGGGCTTTCAAAAGAAGCATAGGTGCTTGAAATAAGTGATTCAACAGAAAGTTTTATATTATTTTTATTTATTTTGTAAATTTTATTAATTTATTGTGAACAAATTTGCTACATGATTCAGTTTTATAATTTTAAATAAATATGATATATGCCAATCTGTATACTACAAAGATTAAAGATTTTTTAAAGTGTGTGTGCGTTTTTTTTTTACTCTTTAAAGAAGTCTGTTTATTGAAAGGGTCTGAAAATAGTAATAAGGCTTTCAACAACATTTAATAACATTTCAGGATATTAACAATATGAAACATTAAGAATTTACTTGAAAAACCCATAGCTTTCTAGACCATCCCATCATGCTGCTTCAGGGCAGGGGTAGCGCTGGCGTTCTGTCTACACAAGTGACCAGGTGTTCGGGTTTGGCTCCCTCTCAGCCCGCAGACCAGCCCCCAGGTGGGTGTACAGGTGGCAGTGAGAGCCCACCTCTGTGTCCAACATCAGGCCGAGTGCCCAGCACCACTGAGGTCCAGATGCTGAGGTGCCTCAGCAGGGACAAGAGTGGGCACAGCACTCAAGCAACACACGTCCACACAGACACGGAGGGCAGAGCAGGTGCCCAGGTTGCAGACCAGCCAGAGAAACCCGACTGAGTTGGCCATGCTTGTGGCTCTGGACACCTCATTAGCACAAGATTGGGGTGTGCGTCCCTGCAGTGGAAGGACACTGCCCACCATGGCCCCAACGTGAGGCCCAGGGTGGTGTTGAGCCCTTCCCTTCTCCCGAGGGGAGCCGATGGAAACCCCTCAGAGAGAAATCCGTTCCTCACAACAGGCTCTACTGAGGCTGTCTGCTGGGTAAGGGCCAAGGACACATGCAAACCGAGCCGAGGCTCCAACCATGGACTCCACAGGTCTGGGTCCCACATGGCCAACGTGCACACAGCGGGCCAAGGGAGGGCGATGCTGGAATGAGGGATTGTCCTTGTACCCCAGGACCCTCATGAAGCATCAGCACTCCACTCCGCTCTCACATGCTTGTCCCAATCTTCTAAATGAGTCCCCTGCAAGGCAGCCATGGCAGCCATGACAGAGGTCCCACGTATATCACAGAGAACACACGGAACAAGGCTCCATGTCGGAGCAGGGTGAGCCCTCCTGCCGGGTCCTCCATGCGCACAGCAGCACCAGCGCACCAGCATCCGAGTCTGGGGCTGCGCTCAGGGTGGGGCCGACTCACTTGTGAGGAATGTGTGGGTCGACCTCCCCTGGCCGCCACCAGGCTCTGGGTGATGCTCACTGTGGCCCCGTCACACAGAAGCCAGGGAGGAGGCGGGACCCACTGCCCCCCAGCCTGTGCCCACCTCCCAAGTGCTCTTCACACGGAGCCCCGGGGTCGGGGGAGGTGCAGGGTTAGGGGAGCGTGTGCCAGAGGAAGATGGGCTGTGACACATTTATTTCCACACCGAAGGGTAGGCCCCTGTGTTCTGACCCCCCACTGTGACAGGCTGACCCCCAAGTTCCCTGACGGAACACGAGAGCCCCTGCAGCTCATGGGATGGCCTAGCTGTTGCTCACTTGGCTTCTATAGTAATGCAAAAAGGTCAGACTTGCAATGTGAGAAACGGCTGATCTGCTGACAAAGGCAGGTTCTGGGGCTCCTGCTCTGGCCACAGACAGAATGATGTGGCACCTGATGCCTGCGGAATGTGTGGGTCGACCTCCCCTGGCCGCCACCAGGGACCGCCAGTGGGCCACGTGCAGCGCAGCGGGGAGGCAAGCCCTCCTCCTCGCCCTCCTGGTCCGTGCAGTGGGCCTGCCGCTTGCGCACGGTCCAGGGCAAACACGGGGCCAGGCTCTGGAACCAGCCGCTCACAGGGTCCCGCAGGCAGATGGAGGGGAGCCGGGAGCACGAGGTAGTGATGCTGATGCTGTCTCTATGGCGGATCTCCTGCCTCTTCCGTCCGTCGAAGGACACCCACACGGTGCTCCTTGCTTCCGGTGACAACAGGATCTCGAGCTCGATTCCCGCAGGGACCACGATGGGTCGGAATGACAGTGAGTGGGGACAGATGGGCGTGATCACGATGGCCGGCACATGGGGTGGATCATAGAGGCCCCGGCCGCCACTGCGTACGCTACACTGCCCGTCGGGGTGGAGACGATCACGCCGCCACCCTGCACTGTAGTGATGAGGTGCCCGTCCAGGTAGACGCCCACGTTGGACAGGTAGGAGGAGGGACCTCTGTCAATAACCACTTCATTTAAGACCTGGCACTGCATGACCTGCCTCCCGGCCTCTGTGGCCCAGTCCGAGGCCAGCACCCCATCCTCAGTGACCCCGTTGGGGGGGCCATCTTCTTCTCTCTGAGCTCCTTCAGCCGGCTCCGGAGAATAATTGCTGCGTTCCCTTGTACCACCTGAGTCACTTGGGTCTGAAAGTTCTCGAAGTTGTGTGGGCTCAGGAAGCCCAGCGAGCCCAGGTGGAACGCCATGACTGGGTCACGCTGCTCTGGAAGAGCGAGGAGGGTTCCATCGCCGCCCAGGCAGATGATGAAATCGATCCGGTTGGAAATGTCATCATAGTCTTTTCGGAAGTGCAAACTTCTTCACAGGCCCGAAGCTGTCATCACCCACGAAGGCAGGGACTTCCAGAACCTTCTTCTCCACGTACACGATCATGTTGTTCTCCACCAGGTAGGCGCAGAGCTCCTTGAAGGGCTGCAGCAGGCCGGTGTTCCGGACCTTCTTGATGACCAGGACGCTATTTGGGGACTTGCTCCATGTCAACCGCTGCTGGGCAGGGCCCTGGATGAGCATGATGGTCTGGGGGTTCTGCAGCACACAGGCCTGTGGTCCAAAGGTGGTCATGGGGCACTGCCCGCGCAGAGGGCGGGTCCTCCTGAACTCCTTGGTGCTCGCCAGGGCGGGTGCGGCAGACAGGCTGCGGGACTTAGCGCGGCCCCGGATGGGGTGGCCCAGGACAGCGTCCTCATCCCAGTGGCAGGCAGCACAGCTGTGGGAGGACGTGTCTGCGCTCAGCCCCCTCCACACGCTGACTTTTCTCTGGCTCCATCTCCATCATCCACGAACTAGGGCTTAGGTCAGAATGCTGATCCCGATCAGGGAGCCGGGCGCCTGTGGCCTGGGGGGTGTACCCTCGCCCGGCTCCTTGCAGCTGCTCATCGTCACTAACGGGGACCTCTGGCCCACCAGGCAGCAATGCCTCCGCGTAGCCCTAAAGTTTTTTGTGTTTTTTTTTTAATATGCCTTGGTATAAGTTGTTTTATTTTTATATTTACTTTTTTCTTCTTCTTCCTCTTCTTAAAGAATACCTTTCAGCATATGTATATATATATATATATATATATATATATATATATATATATATATATATATATATAAAATCTTTATTGTTCAGATTATTACAGTTGTTCCTATCCCCCCCCCCCATAGCTCCCCTTCACCCTATTCCCAACCCACTGCCTACCCTTATCCCCCCACCCCACCCCCTACTGTCCTCATCCATAGGTGTATGATTTTTGTCCAATTTCTTTCTGAACCCCCTGAGGTTCACTTTTTACCCACCCTGAGGATTGTCAGTCCACTCCCCTTCTATGTCCCTGATTCTATTATCATATATTCACCAGTTCATAATGTTCATCAAATTTTTTATTCACTTGATTTTTAGATTCACTTGTTGATAGATAAGTATTTGTTGTTCATAATTTTTATCTTTACATTTTTCTTCCTCTTCTTAAAGAATACCTTTCAGCATTCATATAATAGTGGTCTGGTGGTGATGAACTCCTTTAGATTTTTTTTTTTTTTTTAAATCTGTGAAGCTCTTTATCTGGCCTTCAATTCTGAATGATAGCTTTGCTGGTTAGAGTAATCTTAGTTGTAGGTTCTTGCTGTTCATCGCTTTGAATATTTCTTGCCACTCCCTTCTGGCTTGCATAGTTTCTGTTGAGAAATCAGCTAATGATCATATGGGTGCTCCCTTGTAGGTAACTAACTGTTTTTCTCTTGCTGCTTTTAATATTCTCTCTTTGTCTTTTGCCCTTGGCATTTTAATAATGATGTGTTTTGGTGTGGTCCTCTTTGGATTCCTTTTGTTTGGGGTTCTGTGCACTTCCTGGACTTGTAAGTCTATTTCTTTTACCAGGTGGGGGAAGTTTTTGGTCATTATTTCTTCAAATAGATTTTCAATATCTTGCTCTCTCTCTTCTTCTGGCACCCCCATAATTCTGATGTTGGTATGCTTGAAGTTGTCCCAGAGACTTCTGACACTATCGTCAACTTTTTGGATTCTTTTTTCTTTTTTCTTTTCTAGTTGAGTGTTCTTTGCTTCTATGTATTTCAAATTTTTTACTTGATTCTTGCATTCCTCTAGTCTGCTGTTGGGTCTCTGTATAATATTTTATTTTTTATTTCAGTCAGTGTATGTTTAATTTCTAGTTTGTCCTTTTTCATATCCTCGAGGGTCTCATTAAATTTATCAGCATTTTCTAGAAACTCTTGAAAAACCTTTTATTCTTGGTTTTGAATTTTATATCCAGTCATTTGTTCTCCTCCATTTCTTTCACTTGTGGTCTGCTTCCTTGTCTCCTCATTTTGGCTGCTTCTCTGAGTTGGTAGGGTGGCTTTGTGTGCTAGATGTCCTATAGGGTCTAATGAGTCATACCCCCAGTTACCTGAGGTGGACACTCTTTTTAAAAAATATATATTTTATTGATTTTTTACAGAGAGGAAGAGAGAAGGATAGAGAGTTAGAAACATCAATGAGAGAGAATCATCGATCAGCTGCCTCTTGCAGAGCCCCAACTAGGGATGTGCCTGCAACCAAGGTACATGCCCTTGACCGGAATCAAACCTGGGACCTTTTAGTCCACAGGCCAATGCTCTATTCCCTGAGCCAAACTAAGGTGGACACTCTTGGTAGACTGTGTGTACAGCTTTGTTGTAGTTAAGTCTTAATTGTTGTTGGTGTCACTGGGAGGAATTGATCTCCAGGCCATTTGGCTGTGAGGACCTGCTGTGTCTATAATGGAAGAATTGCTGTGCTGGAGATACATATATGGGGCAGGACTTGTTCCAGTGGGGATTTGGTGCTCACTAGGTTTGCCTCTTGAATCTGTCCGTTATGAGAGTAGTTGAAATTTGGTGTTGCCTCACACAGACCACTAGATACACTACTTTCTGGATCTCCAATGGGGTGCAGGTCAACTACTGTCTGAGGCCCCCCAGCAGGAGCTACAGCAAGAACTACAGTTTTCTCCTCTTTGCTTGGGATTTACAGGATTTGGAGCTGTCTGACTGGAGCTGTAGTTTATTTGGTTAAGCTTCAGCAGGGCAGTCCATTTATTTGCAAAAGCCACTGCGCAGAGCTTGGGTGTGCTTGTAGATTGTGCAGGATGGGGTCTCAGGACATCACTAGGTTAGGGCGTGGCAAACAGCGATGGGTGCTAGTTAGCCATCTCTGCCTTTCCACGTTTCCAAGTCCCTGTATCCTATGCTCCAGCGCAGTAAACAATGATTGCTGGGTGCACCTCTGCAAAAAGTCACCCTTGCTTTCTGAACCGATGGCAGATAGTCCAGCTTCTCTCCGTAGTAGTTTGAGTTCCCAGTATCTCCCCAGAAATTGGATTTCAGAGTAATCGGGAGCTTGAAAAAAAGCAGCATGCCCAGTCACCCGCCACCAGCCCAATTCACATGCCCCCATACCTCAGCTTTTCAGCACTTGTACTCTTTGATCTTTCCTTCTAGTTGTAGAACTTCCACTTAGCCAGCTTTCTGTGGTTCTGGGTGATAGATGTTTTGTCTTTCAGTTGTAGTTTTGAAATTGTTTTGCGAGGTGGTAGTTTAGGTGTTTATCTTTTCCGCCATCTTAGTTTCTTCCCATGATGCATTCTTGGAATGCAATGTTGGT